GATCGGATATAGAGACAGAATATGAGAAAAAATTCGAAATAAATAGTCGCGGGTGAAAAAAAAATTGTAATCGGAATATTTTTTCCAAATTGTCAAAAAATTTCTGGAAAACTTGACAGAAATTTTTTTTTATGGAAAAAAATCGGAAAACCAAACAATTTTATTTTTGGGAAAGGTTTTGAAAAATTTTTCAAACATTTGAATAGGAAAATTTTTTGAAAAGTTTTCCAAAAATTTTTGAAAAGTTGGAAAAAATATTCCGTCTGTAATTTTTTTACCCGGAGTAGTATCTTGTCCTTAGTCCTTCACGTAGAACAAGATTGTCTTAATGAGCGTGTGTATACAACCGTCAAAGTTGCGGAGGACACGGGCGAATATTCCAAAGAGTTGAAACTCAGCTGCACATCAAAGTTGGCCAATTAGAGTTAATGCGAATATGGAATTGGTAGTAGGTACTTCGCACAGGGATGGACCGTGACGTTACCAGGGTAACAATGGATCTACTCCCTCCTTCCCTCTTCCCATCCTATCCTCAATTTCGTAATCGTGCAATAACATTAGGTGTACTCCCGGGGTTTGTGTAGTTTCCAGTCCTTTCCATGCGGTATCCATAAAGATATTTACTCGCAAATATAGACGGCAGAGGGACGATTGGGAGTAAAACAATAATGTCGCCTGTAGTGAATTTCCTGCGGGATATTCTCACAACACAAAGAGGGACCTGAGCTCTTTGAGTTTGCCCAGTAGTTTATCCTCTTCCTCCCTATGCATTGGTACGTTCCTTGGATCACATTCATTCAGGATTAATCAGAATAGAGGACTAGAGGATAACAGATAAACCCAATCGAGAAGTTATTTTTTAAGTAGCTCTACCCTCCTCTTTATTTTTTTGTTAGAGTTCATCCACTTTCAAATTTTACCCCTGGAGTAGTGCCCAATTTTCAATCCTCTTCGACCTTCCTCTTTCGTAGTGGAAAACGAAAATAAAACTTCACTTTGATAAAATTAAATATTATTAATCAAATGACCGATTAAATTTTCTGTTTCTTATTATATTTAATTCTTTTTTCGGAAAGTCAGTAGTGAAGAAAAATGAAAAATCGGGAAACAACCGGATGCCGCGAGTACGTGAGTCCGAAATTCACAGGTTGAATCGATGTGAGAGAGTTTTCACCAGAAAAGCACAAAAGACCGACGTGTTTTCCCAGTAAATTTATCGAGAGGGTCTGGTTACCAGCAGCAAGAGAATGATGGACAAAACGCATTGCAACGCTGTTGTACGCAGACAGAGATGGAGATTGAAGAGAGGGTTAGCTAAACGGCATTGTGCGAGGAACTGAATACATGAAATCCCACGATGAAAAATGATTCAACCTCATTGTAACTCGTGTGGCTTTCACATTGTATATATCTCTCTCCATTTCTTTCTCTCCCCCGACCACTTCAATTCCTACCGCTTTCATGTACCAACTTCACCCTGGAGGGTTTGTATTTCCACTGCTCGAGTATAAAATCAACCGCCAGGAGCTATCAATTTTACAGAGGAAATGTTAGCGGGAGGGTCAAGGAAAGGGACAGCGGTAGAGTTTTAGGACTACAGGTCGATGCTGGGATGATTGGATCTGATGTTGAATGGAATGCCGGAATGTTTCGGTTAAATCAAATTCCAACGGGCCGGATAGCCCCTGCCGAGAGCCTGAGAAGTTCGCCAGTGTAATAGAGATCCTGGTACTGAGGTACTGGGGGGATACCTGGTACTTGGAGGATATTCACCGTGGAAGATGTAGTCGAGGAAATTCTTCGGGGCTTCTGGGATACGTTGGACCTCCCTCCGTGACAGACACCAAGGGGTTTCACTGGGTTGTGCCACAAGTTTCGGCTTACACCTCACTCCCTCTAACTCTCTATTTCCGAGGGTGAGGGTTCTTGCGGGGGATGCACTGAGGGCGACTGATATATATCCCTCCGTTGGATCGCGAGCACGAAATTCCACTCCTCGTTCATCACGATGCAATTCTCCTGGTGGATGCATTAAGGGTAATTCCGTAGCACGCCTCCTCTCTTGCCTCGGCGATCATCGCTGCTATAACCTCAACACCATCATCCGCACATCCTTTACTCGAGGAGAATGCGCTCTAGGTGGGGACTTTCACTTCCTCGAATTGCGGGAATTGCACGATAAACAAGTACTGATTCTTCTCCATCTTCAAGTTTTTCAAATTTTTTATTCTGCAATTGACGATTTTTCACTTTGTCTGTCCGGGTAAAAAAAAATTGTAATCGCAATATTTTTTCCAAATTTTCCAAAAATTTCTGGAAAACTTTTTAGAATTTTTTTTTTTATGAAAACAAAACAATTTTATTTTTGGAAAAGGTTTTGAAAAATTTTTCAAAAATTTAAATAGGAAAAGTTTTTTTATCATTTAGATGGTTTTTTTGAGAATATTGAAAAATTAAAAAAATTATATTCGCAAAAATTTCTAGAAAATTATTTAAAAAAAATTTCCGAAGCAAATTGTAAAAAAATTTTTCAAAACATTTCCCAAAAATACGATTGTTTTGTTTCCCGATATTTTTGTTTCAAAAAATAAAATTTCTGAAAAGATATCCAGAAATTTTTTTTTAATTTGAAAAAAATATTCCGATTACAATTTTTTTTACCCGGGTGCATAAAAATCGAGGGTCAATCGACGATAATCGGCGACAATGGGAGTGGTTAAAGCGCCAGAGGAATTTAATTCCTCAAAATTTCACTGTCGAGAATTTCTGACAGCCGTGTACACGATGGTTCAAACATCTCTCGCATTTTCATTCCGCTCGATCGCGATCTCCACTGGATGTTCCGAATGGTCCGCGAATTCTGTACGACGCATTCACCTCCGCCTCGAGTGACAATGTAAACTGGTCCCATGCATTCGTAACTTCAATGCAGATGAATAAGTAAGACAAAGATAAAAGCTGTGGGATGAGTTCATTCACACGAACACTGATTTTCCCATGTCTCTGTCCCGCCTGACTTTACATTGACTGTAACCACTGGCGCTGCGCTCCACTGATTTATCCTGTTACGGCGATGGGACGAAGGGCCCTTTCTTTCCTGTCAGGTCGACTCATTCAACCTGATTCCCCCGAGGAGCTGAACGATTAGAGGTCATCCAACCAGAGCCAAACCCCGAACCATCAATTGAGTCGTCTCATTATTATCATTCTCCCAACCCCCATCCGCCACATTGGCATTGTGCTCCATTGAATTTATTCTCTCGTAAAAGCGGGATTTATTGAACATTTCAAATAACAATTTCTACCAGCCAGGCTTTTACGATGATTGCAATGCAATGTCACTTCTTTTCCATTCGCTAGTTCTACTCTGCTAGATGTATTTATCGTTTGTTTATGGTTTTCCTTTTGTAAACACCAACTGGCTATTAATTCTCGACACGAACGGAGATCAACTGCATTGAGTTCTGGTCTTTGGTGGTTGTTTCGGGGAGTACCACGTGAATGGATGAATTTAACTGCTGGGAGCGATATCTTTTGGGAAAATTTTCGGACGAGTACTGAGGAAATGAGAGTTTAATGGCTAATAAACATTGTAATAGTTTTTAAGTGCAATGTCTCGTTGGGTCTGATGAAATTTAGAACAATTTATAGTTGAAACACAAGGGATTTATGGGAAAATTTCATATTAATAAAATTTCTAATTTTAGGTGAATGCTACGGTAATTTTCCTCCTGTATTCTCCTGGAGAGAAAAGTCCATGGACTTGAAGCGAGTATTAATTTCCAAATTGTCGCATTTGCAACAAAAAAAAAATTCAATTGAGGGCAACAAGTGGAATTATTTGACTGACACGTCTCTCACAATCTGATGAAATTTTCGAGGTGCATCTAATCTCAGACCTCGGAACCAGAATCGGAATTCCGATTTTCCAATGCTAATTAAATGATTATTCTCGTTGTTAGGTACAGATATTTCGAAAATAGCGACAATTACGATGTGTTAATTGGTTTTAACATTCGATTATTGCGACTGGTAGTTTATTCCGGAAATACCCCAGCTATCTGAGTGTGGAGCTGCATGAGAATGGAATTGTTGCAAGAACATTCGCAGGGCGTACGTAGGATACAGTTAACAAAAGGCGATAAAAGCTTCGGCGCCTAGGGTTCATCCACTTGAAAATGGTGGAAGGGGAATTCTGTCGTGGGGCAATTTGAGATGGACGTTTTGCGAGTAGAAATGGCGAGTAAAAAGGACGCGTCCTAGGTTCGTGACGTTTTTTGCAGGACGGCTCTTAGGAAATGGAAGAGCGGGGGTGCGGCCTTGTGGAAAACTAGCGCCGATTAAATGCAAATCTCGGGAGGGCGCTTATCGCCATCCCGACACGCTCATACCTACTGAGAAAACCTGCGGAGGTCTCTGCAGGGACTGCTGATTATGTTGCCTTATTTTTCTTCATTTTTTTTTTTGCCATCCCACCGCGATACAATTAGCAAGGGGCCAGGGTGACGGAGCGCCCGGTTGTTAATTAAACGTTGGCGTGCTAAGAACACCGATATTATCACGTTTCATATGTGCTTAAATATGGATAAAAAACAGTGTTACGTACTTGTTTGCACGTTTTAATATTTATTACGCTGTTAGAAATCTCTTGAATTTTCCGTAACATTTGCGAGGAGAAAAATTCGCTAGTAAATTTATTTAGACGGTTAGCTATTTTTACGCTGACATTGTAGTAAAAATGCCTTGAGAACCTGTACGGTAAATTTTAATATGCCTTTCACTGTAATTATAATTCAATTTTTTGTCCGCAATGGTTCGAATGCAATTGTTCGATTTTTAGATTTTCAATTGTAGTGGTAGAAATGAAAAAGGAGAAAAAAAAATGAAAGCATAGAGTAATGGTTGAATGTCTCCTGCCAAATAGTCTCAATAAAAATAGTGTGAATTCATGAAAAAATATTTTGCATTATTATCGTAAAAATTCGTTGAACAAAACTCACCGTTCGGTTGCCAGGATGCTTGACGTGACAACTGAGCACACCTTTTTGTCCGACAATAGCAGTGACGTTTTTCTGAGTGATGTCGTCAAAATAGGGTTTGTCCCACGCTTTAGTAGGTTTACTGCCACTCGCAATGACACTCGACAAACTGGAGCCACCTGAGAATAAACAGCCATGAGTTTCTCCACTAAATTGCCATAAAAATGAGAGATTCCGTCTATCCATTGCAGAGATTTTCCCCTGGAATGGATATTTCATCAGGAAATTCTCGCTATTGTTATTAACCGAGTGGGTTTTTAAAAAACCACAATCATCCTATTGTAATAGGGATTTTAGCCGCTGCGCGAGATTTTTAACAGCTCGAATGCATTAAAATTCTCCACTCCGGCGCAAAATCCACCCTGAGACACTTTCATATCTCATTCCAGTCGTTCCCAATCTTTCGTCACTTAATTAATCTCCGGCTGATGTACCCAACATTCACATCTTTTTCAATTTCCCTGAGAACTTTCCACCCTCACATTTCCCCATAAACATTAATTATCCACAACTTCGTGTCTTATTATTTTTATTCATCACTCGAAACATATTTAATGAAATTTTTTTCCCCTCTCAGCCTCTCATTCTCGTCATTAAAACCCATCCTCATAGAAAATTCATGACCACGGAAACAAGAGCAATGGAAATTCTCCGAATACCGGTGAATTCGAACGAGAAAAAAGACCGTCTCAAGTTAGGCATTCAGAGGAAAGGAGGTGATTCACGTGTAAAAAAAAAAATTGGATCGCCCGTAGAACTTTTAACGAACGATGATCGAAATGAATCCGGTAAATTGCTTGAAATTCGATTAAACGACGGAGACAGAGTGAGACGTGAAATGGTAAAAGTAGGTGTGTACACTGGAGCGAGAGGAAAACAATAAAAAAAAAACCACCTATACACACACATCCGGAAAAGAGTGGCGAGAGGGTAAAAAAATATATATGTATGGAATAGACGCCTTTACCGTGAGTGTGCTCCACTATTTTTATTTTACCCCCGAGAATTTTTAGTCAACGTTTTGGTATTGGCCGCGTTATTCGAGTGGTCGTTCCCAACGACTCCGGCATTCAATTTAAATTTTTCCAACCCCTCTATACACTGGATGCCAAGCTCTCTTCCTACCTCAACTCTCCTGTGGCACCATGGCATTTTTTGCCCTGTTATGTTTCAGCAGAACCTCCATACACTTCATTCCAGTTGCTGTTGTTACCTCTGTCCTAACTGGGTGGTCCACAGTTGCGTAAAACGTCACAAGTCATCGAATGTGGGGGGGAATGAAAAGAGAAGTGTGCAATGTCCACCGACGTTTCATGTTTACTGGTCGATCCCATTGGAAATACGAATTTCCTGTTGTGGTAGTTTGCGCGTAACTAAATTCCAATCGTCCACCGGCAAAGAGGTTACCGCGGAAATACGAGAGCGAGGGGATGCATTAGTGACTGAGGTGAAACCTTGCGAACCATTGAGTACAATAATCATTTGATATCGTATCGGAGGAACGAAATTCATTAGGCGACTGCGTCCGCAGTTTCTCCACTGCCACCCTTCGTTTCCACCTAAACCCATGCCACCCTACGCCACCCCACCCTACGCCACCCCACCCCAAACCACCCTACCCCACCTCACACCACACCATCCCACCCCAAACCACCCCACCCCACCTCACCCCAAACCATCCTACCCCAGACCAGCCCACCCCACCCCAGACCACCCCACCCGACCCCACCGCTTCTCTCCATTTTCCCTACTGCCCCCCCTCGCATTCCCAAAATTTCACCGGCCAAAGCAGGCCAGCCAAAGTTTGGGACTTCTCTGGCGCCAGTGATTATATGTACGAGTATAGAAATTTATGTCTATATGTGTTTAAATTATATATATGTGCAAAATCCATGTGCTTGTGTATGTGACACTGTGCCGGTAGTTTTGGGAGGGATGGAGTGAATCACGATTTATCGCACTTGGAGTGGAGCAGGGCAACAAAATGGGAACTGCAGAATGGTGTCGGATTCGATTCACGTATATAACGGGGCACCAGAATTTACGGTACAGTCGAGTGAATAATTATTCTACCGATTATACGATTGACGCCAATGGGAGCCGCTCCCAATTCCTCACATATTTCCCTTATGTTTTCCCACTTTTTCTTCTTTTTTTTTTCTCCTGTTTACTTGCTCGGGCTTTTTTCATTGCACCATTGCCCGGAAAATTCCTTCACTGGGAATTGCAATCGGCCAATGTAATTTGACGATTGTAAACAGGAAAAAATCGATTACGATGCGACAAAGGGAAAACATATTTTTCAATTTCATTCTGTCCGCTTTCCCTCTTCATTCTGATGCAGAAATATTTTTTCAATTCAATTGTCCTGATGAACTTCCAGTTGCTTTTATAGGTATTATTTTTTTTTTCAACTCCCAACCGATCCACTGGGATTTGTTTTTCAAAATAGTGGAAAAAATGTTCGGTGTCAGCATGAAAACGAAACACGAAAATTCTAATTAGTCAATTAAAATATTCAGCGGAGTTGTTGGGAAAATACGGTTTAAAAAAATAAACCAAAAACACGTTGGGGTAGAGGAGGGGCAAAAAAGCAGAAAACTGTAACAATGGAGTTGTAGCGAGTTGGATATTACTGTGTCAAATGTTGTTTTAATTAAAACTAGTCGGACCAGGTAAAGCATTCAGTGTCTCTGTGGCTGGGGCTCTCATGTTTTTGCTCGGCGAAAGGCACATCTGATTTAATTAAACATTTCATTTATCCTTGCCGAAGAAAATCAGAGTGCAGATGTCGCTAATTACCTGGAAACATAATTATTGAATATAATCGCTACAGGATTCACACATGAACGCGATTGTGCAATGTCCATACCAATAAATGGCTTCCGGGATAAATAATAATTCCGAAATAAAAAATAATAATAATCATTGATTTATTCTCTACGTGCGTCAATTTGAATTCGGAATTACTTCATAGATATCTTTTCTCTTTGACTTTCTTTATTGAGAGCATAAAAACCCAGAACGAAAGGTTCTCGATGTTGTAAAAAGAAAGTTTTTAAATTCGAAAAACTTACCATCCAGTACCAGGAATTTCTTCCTCAACGAGGATAGAAGTTATTAACAAGTAGATTTCATAGGATCATAAAAAATTGCTAGAAGGTAATCCGTAAATAATAAATAAAGCATTTTCTGGAATATTCCCTACTCGACAATCATTCCACAATATTGATAATCCAACTAGCAGCATTCATGAAACTTGTTATGGAATACTTGAACGAACTGTTCAATAAATATCTATAACGAGAAATAGCCGTTATGAACTTTTTTAACAAGTGAATATAATTCTGGGTGCATATGGGTGTAAAAAATTGAGCGAAGAAAGTTCTCTTGAGAACGAGAGAGAGAGAGGGGGAGGGAAAAAATGAGATTATGTAAATAGAAGGAGGATCATGGGAAGTATATTCTCGAGGATGTTGAATATAGGTTGGAGCACGAGGATCAGTAGCTAAACGAGGTGGTGCTCGGCTATAACCCTAGTAACCCAAATGAACTCTACACCCTTCCTCACCCCGTTCACTCCATTGGTGTCAGATAGTTGGTGTGGAAAATGTCGATAGCATAAATTTCAACGTTGACGCAACGGGATTATCGAGGGAGTATCCTCGAAAACGGCCGTATGACGTGCCCCAGGGTGGAAGTGGTCTCTGTTCCCTCTTTCCCTCACTCGCAGGAAAATTCACGAGTAGCGCAGAATCACCGGCTTTCCAACTCTCATCCTCGATACACACATACGAAATTGCATTCTCTCTTACCAAACTGTCCATGCTCACTAAACCGTTCTATGTATCTTCCTATCGAAATTCTACCAAAGGCTCAATGTGCGAGAGTGCATTCATTGCAAAATCGCATATCCCCTCCTCGATAGTTTTCAACCCGATCAATTCGATCCGAGCAATTACGGGATTATTATTTCCGTATGCGAAATTTCATTTTATTATTCGAAATTTTACTTTTTATGTGATCGCAAATAAATTGGATATTTCACTCGGCAAGTGGTTTTCCCGAATTTTCCATCGGTATGAATAACCCTCGGGTCGAAAATGGATGCAGCCATAACGTGCGCATTATTCTCCTTCGTGTCCAGAAATCACAAGGTTGAATATAATTATAATTGATCAACACACGGACCATCTCCATCGGACTAGCTCAAGTTTCGATGCTGCCATACAGGCAGGCTGTTATCACTAATAGTGTCTATGATTATACCGACCAACCCAATATCTGCAAGCTCTCAAACGCCCGCCATCACTAACGCCAGCCAAAAGAGATTCCGATCCCGATCTCCCATGACCAAAATTAATTCTCCCACACCCGGGTGAAAAAAAAATTGTAATCGCAACATTTTTCCTAATTTTCAAAAATTTGAATAGGAAATTTTTTTTATTATTTATATGGCGTATTTTTTGAGAATATTGAAAAATCAAAAAAAGAAAAAAACAGCAGTATAATTAAAAGAGAAAATTATATTCGCAAAAATTGCTAAAAAATTATTAAAAAAATTTCCGAAACATGCTTTTGAAAAATTTCTGCAAAGTTTCCCAAAAAATTTGAAAATTTGGAACAAATATTCCGACTACAATTTTCTTTTACCCGGGTAACCAACCATTTTTATTTCTTCTTTCCTAACATGATTTACCAATTGTTCATTACGGTCATTACCCGACCGAATCGGACTCCATCGAAACGCCAATGATAATATATCCAGCATATTCCAATTACAGATCATCCCTTGATTTCAACCCCTAAGATTTGCGCAACATTTGATAGTCATGTCGTAATCAAATTTCCAGACCATTCGACGATACTCCTACACACGAGATCAATAATACCAGTTCGAGAAGCTTTTCCGAAGAGGTTTCCCTCTCGAAAATTCGTGCATCAGATCCCACATGCAACCCGAGGAGTTTCGTTATCCCCTCGGGGTCGACCCAAGTAAAATCACGATAACATAACGGAGGATTACCTGAAACAAGTACTCTAGGTACCTTAGGCTACCGCCTAGTATGCGAAACAATCACCTTGATACATAGTTCAAACTTCGGATAGAAGAAAAGCA